AGGAGGAGGAGGAGGGGGAGGGGGAGGGGAGGGGAGGAGGAGGAGGAGGAGGAGGGAGGAGGAGGAGGAGGAGGAGGAGGAGAACGAGGGAGGGTGGAGGGGCAGGAGGGGGGTTGGGGAGGTGGGAATCGAGGCGAGGGAGGTGACGGGGGATGATCGCCGCCGCGTTCTCCTCCCTCTTGTCCTTCCGGTCGCAGACTGGAGGGGGGGCTGGACGCAAGGACGTGGGGGTGAGGGGATGGTTTTGAGGCCCGACTCGCCCTGGAGCGGTCGCTCAAATCCCAGAGGATAGGGAAGGGAGAGCGAAGGGGGAACGAGAAAGGGAGAGAAAGGCGAGAGCATGAAGTGGAGGTGAAGCGAGTGAGAGAGAGAGATAACACAATAAATAGAACAGTGCAAAGAAAGGGGCTATAGAAAGGGAGAAGTCGAGGATACATATGTATCTATATATGTATAGATACATACATACACACACGCACGTGCCTATATATATATATATGTATATATACACACATGCACGCATGCATACAATAATACACATATACAGATGTGCACATGGAAGGGGAATACATATATCTCTCTATATATATATATATAGACAGAGACAACAGATCACATCGTATGACACTGAATATCCGATGCATTTGTGACCTGAGGGGGGGAGGGGCGATGGTTGGCGTGGGCTGGCCTGGAGGGTTGGCATGAGTTTTGGCCGCGGTTGTTATTCGATTAGTTATTATTATTATCGTAACGCATAGGGTGTGCCCATGTATATAAACATACATACATACGTACATACATACATACATACTACATACATACATACATACATACATACATACATACATACATACATACATACATACATACATACATACATATATCCTATGCGTGCATGTCTTTCCTCATCCCGTCACGAGTCCTGGCCGTCGATGTTAGATCGCTTCCGTTGGTTTTTGGGCTCAAGAGTTTACACCAAGGCAGTGCGTATGGATTACTGGCTCCCTGCCGCCCAGTACTTTTTGCAGGGAGCGTTCGCCGATCTCCTGGGCAGCAACCTGCAGAGGTGCCCACCAGTCCACGTTCCTTCGTGCCCTGCCATACCGAGCTGTGTGTGCCCGCCTTGCCCTGGCTGTCCGACGTGTCCCGGGGGCTCCCCCGCTCCCGCCACGCCTTCGGCGAACGGCGGGGGCAGCAGCGAACCGAGACAGCCCTCCTCCGTCTGGTCTGTGGTGCTGGTGAGTGAGGCTCTCCTGCTGGTCCTGGCGCTGGCCTACGGCGCTCTGTCGTGGAACCGTGTCGGGCTGATGTGCTGCCGCCGCAGGGCTGGCCGTGCAGAACGTGGAACCAGTGGGAGCAGCACCTCATGGGATGCTCCAGGGAACGTCGGTGCACTACGAAGGAGAGCAAATGTGGCACCAGCGTCTGTTCCAGGGCGACGGGGGTGGACTCGATTGGAGAGATTCACTGAGTGGATGGTGTTCATCTGTGCGGTGGTCAATGACATCTATGAGGAAGGTTACTCACGCCAGGGGAGAGACATCGCTGCGGTGAGGTTCGCACAAGATCGCGCTGCCCTCCCTCCAGGCGGCGGTGCCGTCAACTCGTACAGGTTCGGATGGAACCGCACGGTGGCGCAGATGCAGCAGATCGACCAGACTGCGCTGGACTACGGCACCGCCGCTCTGGCCGCCGACCACCTGCGCCTGCGGCTGCCTGTGCCGGGCGGGCCTTTCGCCGTCCCGCTGACCTTCGGTCCCGCAGGGGGCGTTGGGCCTGGCGCGGGCGCTGGGCTAGCCGCCGCAGGCGCTGCGGCCCCAACGGCCGCGGCGCTGGCCGCCCCAGCGGTGTGGCCCGCTGGCGCCCTGGCCGTGCCTCCCCCCGCTGGCGGAGCGGCCCCAGGCGGCGCAGCCGCGGCTGGTCCGGGGGCTGCGGCCACGGCGGCTGGAGCGGCGGTGTGGGTGCTGATCGAGTCGACCTCGGCGAGCCAGCGCGGTACAGTTGTGGCCCCGCCCGCTGGCGCGCACCTCCGCGGGGCCGCCAGCTTGATGCCGCTGGCTGATGGGACGCGGGTGGCCATCCGCTCGATCTCCGAGCCCGCGCAGATCTACGCGGGGAGGGAGGCCGCTTCCGACGCCAGGCTGACGTGGAACATCGTCGCGAACCCAGCGGTTCTGAGCGGCAGGCTCTCGAGGCAGTGGCGCGGTGCTGTGGCCTACTTCACAGGAATCGTTCGTGGACTGGCACTGTCCTGGCTCCCGCATGTCCTTCTGGCGCTGTCAGTTCATAGACCGACGCCAGGGCGGTCCGCTCGACCGCCTCAGGTTCTGGAGGCTCGGCTCTGGGCTGTCGACCGAGGACTACGGAGGCGGCGACTACGAGGCAAATGCGCGGGCCATCTACACCCTCTCCTACTGGGGCGGCCTCGACGTGCCGAACCCGACGGATGTAGAGCAGATGTTCAGGACGTGCTTGACGTATGAGCACGTGTACGACATGGGTCGAGATCCCCACCTCAGCGCGCCCCCTGTCGGAGACGGAGGCGACGAGGGGAACGACAAGAAAAAGGTCCGAGGCCGTGGACATGGCGGTGGACGCCAGGTCCTGCTGAGCTTCGGGTTCATCAACGATTGCACCGTCTTCACGGGTCTCCCTCGAGGCCATGGGGAGAGCATGATCTGCCCCTTGCTCCTCGAGCACGTGGCGAAGGAGGTGGAGATGGGCGCTTGGGTGCTGAAGCAAGTTTGCAAGGCCCGCGAGGGGCCGCGGGCCTTGCAGTCATGACGGGTCCACGACCACGCGTGCCGCTTCCCCCCGGCGGTGCACGTGTTTTCGGAGGGGGGCCCAGCGGCGGTGGCCCGCCGCCTGCTGGTGAGTTGTACTCGCTGGGCGATCGTGCTGGACGACAGCGTGATCTATTTCCACTGCCAGGGCCCGGTCAACAGCATCGGGCATCTCCGGAGGCGCAGGGCATCTCTTGTCCACGTTCGGCGGCGCGTCGGGTTCTCCGCAAGGGCCGCGCCAACTCGATGGAGGGCGAGATCGTTCGGACCCTCAACGAGCTGTGCCTTGGCCAGCCCTGGCACCCCGTCAGCCATCTTCAGTCCATCAGCGCGGGCCAGCGGCAGGCCCTGGACAACGTTCGAGACGCAGTCCGACGGTTCGGCGCGCCCCCGGAGGGATTGACTGGCTCAGGAGCCCTTGAGGAGCTCCCAGTTCTCAGCGACTACGCTGGCGAGAGCGCCATAGTCGCTCCGCTCGACTTTGACAATATCAATAGTCTCTCGCTTCCAGACGAGGGTTTCAAGCCCGTGCCGCTTGACGCGCTGGGAGGGGATGCTGGCCGAAAGATAGTCGAGCGGCTTCACGGTATGATGTTGCCCCAGTCTGAGGGTCGCGCTTGGATCGAGTCTGAGGGCCCCCGGAAGCTCCACACCGACCCGGCGCTGAGGAACCCCAAGCTGCATGTCCAGCTGCTACGGATCCTCGAGCGTCGGAATCTTCTCGATTTCTACAAGGACAAGTGTTGCAACGTAGGTGTCTTCTTCGTTTACAAGAAGTCGGGTACGCTGCGGCTCATCCTGGACGGCAGGCACGCATCTCTGCACTTCCAGGACCCCGACAAGGTCGCTCTAGCGTCGGGTGCGACCTTCGCCGGCCTCCACGTGGACGGGGGCAAGCCCATCGCGGCGGCGGAGGTCGACCTGGCGGACGCGTTCTACACGATGCTGCTGCCCCCGAAGTTCAGGAGGTACTTCGCGCTCCCTGGCTGCCGCGCTGGGCTGCTGGGCCTCGAGAGCACCGCGGACGGGCGGCGCCTGGCGGGAACCGACCTGGTGTACCCGTGCTTCAGGTGCCCCCCGATGGGCTGCTCCTTTCAGCCTCTGGATCTGCCAGACGACGCCGGAGGGGATGGCTCTGAAGGTGCCCCAGCTCTCCCTCGCGAACCGCTTCGTGGACCGCCGACCTGTGCCGCTGGTGTCCGAGGGTGTGATACAATGCGATCAGCCGCTCTACGGACTTGGAGACGGCGGTCGCCGCTGCGTCGGCCGTGGACTCGAACCTTCGCGCAGCGGGTCTCCCTACCCACGGAGTCGAGAGCAGCTTTGGCGCCGTGGCACTGGGCTGGCAGTTCGACGAGAAATTCCCGATCGTTGGGCTGAACCCAGCGCTCCGCTGGAGCTGCGGTTGGCCTTCCTGGAGCTGTGTCGGAGGGGATATGCCTCGGGCAAGACGATCTCGCGCGTGGTGTCCTATTTCACCTCGCGGGGTCTGATTCGCCGAGAGCTTCTGGCCGCTCTCAACTCGCTGTACGCTTTTTCTGCCCAGTATGGAGGCCGCGCTGCGCGGCTGTGGCCCTCTTGCCTCCGCGAGCTTCGCTGGTGCGCCAGCCTCCTCGCGTTCTGTTTCCGGGACGCTGGCGCCCCGTTCGACAGCACCCTCACGATGGTTGACTCCTCGCGGTGGGGAGTTGGAGTCACTTAGAAAAAGTCGTCTGCCCCAGTCGCTCGTGAGCTCTCCAAGTACAATGAGAGATGGAGATTCAGTACTCATCAGGAGTCCGAGATGTCGCATCGGCCCCACGCCTTCAAGTCGGCGACCTCCGCCGACCCCTTCACCCCAGAGTCGGTCTTCACCTTCGACTGCTCCTGGAACCCGAAGGCCCCGATCAAGGAGCCCCTGGAGGCGCCCGTAGAGGAGCCCGTCAAGGAGTCAGTGATGAAGGGGGTGCCCATGGAGGAGGAGATGGTCATGACATCGAGGAGGAGGAGGAGTTCCCCGAAATCCCATACGACGTCTGGGCGAAAGGCTGGGTCCCCGTGGTGTCTCATCGCTGGAGTCGTTCAGAGCATCAGGTTGTCTTGGAGGCCCGCGGCATGGTCGTGGCCGTTCGTCGTTTCCTTCGACGTGTCTCATCATTCAACCGATGCCATCTCTGCTTGGGCGACTGTTTGGGAGCCATCCTGGCCGCCACCAAGGGGCGTTCGTCGCGGCGGGAGATGGGCCGCGCGCGCCGGCAGCTGGCGCCCCTTTCGCTGGCTAGCGGCGCTGCATTCTTCTGGCGCTGGGTCCCCTCGGAGAAGAACTCGGCCGACCGCGCCTCCAGGAACCTGCCGGGCGTGGGCTACGCGGCCGCGGCGGCCGATTCCTGCTTCCTCGGCGCAGCCGCTGGCCGCCCCGGCCCTGCGAGCGGGCACGGAGGGCCTGCTGGCGAGAGCTGGGCCGACATCGGGCCCCCGCCCGGCCTCGAAGAGGAGGCTTGCTGGCCTTCCGTCTGGGCGAGCCCCCGCGACGGCAGCCGCGAGCCCGGCGGGGCCTTGGGAGCTGGCAGCCGAGTCGCTGGGCCGCCCGGGGCGGGCGAGCCGCCGCCAGGCGAGGCAGCCCCGTGGCGGGAGCTGGCGGGATCAGCTCCTGCGGTCGTTCCTCGAGCTGAGGGCCGCGAAGGACAGGACCGTTTGGAGCTACCAGGTCCGATACCGAGCTTTCCTGACCTGGTCGACAAAGGCGTGCCTGTCGGTGACGAGCGTCACGGACCTGGAGGTCGACTGGATGGTGGCGTACGACTCCCTGGCCGCCGCCCGAACGGCCGCCCTGACTTCCGTCCTTGGCCTGGGGCCGTCGGAGACGCTGTCGTTGCGCGTCCAGCCAGTCGAGCAGTTGGTCAGGGCTGGTCCACAACATCTGGGCATGTACTCGATCCTGCGGTTTCCTACGGAGCTCCGGATGATGTCGAAGGCCCTGGGCTACGACACCAGTCTCCAGGTGGGCAACCCAGAGTTCAGCGGGGTCGACCAGCTGCTGGAATGCCTCGTGGGGAGACGTGCGGTCGACGCGCTCCTGTTCGACCTGGACATGAGGCCCTGGGTGCGGGCGCTCCTGCAGGCGGGCGCCGCCCTCGGACTGGGCGCCCTCGGCCCCCCAATGCCGTATCAGCTGCGCCACGGGGGGCCATCCCCGAGCGTCCGACAAACGCTTGGACGTTCGGCAACATCAAGAAGCGCAGGCAGTGGGAGGCCGTCAGGAGCCTCATGCAGTACGCGAGGGATGGTCATGTTCAAGTGGTGCTGTGGCGTCTGCATCCCGTCCTACAGTCTCGGGCCCACGGTTGCGTCGTGACTATTGGAGGCACCCTATGCAGAATCTGAGCTCCTGGGCCCACCTGACCGACTCGAAGGTGCACCTGGAGGTCTTCAGTGGCTCCGGGAATTGGTCCCGGGCGCTGCGGCGGAGCATGACTTCTCGCCTGGCGCCGCGGGTCTTCGAGCTGGACGTGGACCATGATGAACCCAACCTCGGTGGCCTCAGCCGACGGCGGGCCCAGCGCGTGGTGCGCGGGTGGCTCCGTGGTGGCCTGCTGCATGGCGTCTGGCTTGGGATGCCCTGCAGATCGTGGTCACGGGCACGGAATCGCCCCAACGGGCCACCACCCCTGCGGGACGCTGCCCACGTGCATGGCCTGCCCCACCTGTCGTCGGCCGACTCCCTCAAAGTCGAGACGGGTAACAGGTTATCGCAGTTCTCTTTCAGCCTTTTTTTGGAATGTGCCAGGCGCGGAGTCCCCGCAGCAATCGAGAACCCTTCCACCTCGTGGGTCTGGCAGACCCGTTGGGCCCAGCATGCTGCGCGCCAGCCAGGGGTTAAGACTGTGGAGTTTGATTTCTGCGCCTTCGGCACAGCTTGGAGGAAGAGAACCCGTGTGATATATGCTCATCTCAATTTTGACTCGATCAGCTTTTGCACGTGTACAGGGCGTGGCCTTTGTTCTTTCACGCACCGTCCACACCGAGCTCTGGAAGGCAAGACGCCTTCCGGAGCTTTCTGGACCAAAATTGCCGAGCCTTACCCGCCCAGCTTGTCCAGTGCCCTTGCCAGAGCCTATCGTGAAGCTAGATTGTCATCCACGCACCAAGCCTTGGTGCGATTGGCGGCCTAGGGCCAGTTAGATCTTCGGAGAGATGTTTCGAGGTCGCTGTTGTTTGTCCTGGCCTCCCGCGTCTCTGCTCGACGCGGATGGATGTTGCACTCTGGCTGGACAACGTTTGCGAACAGACACTGTCGAGATGCTGGCCTGGAAATAGAAATAGAGCGGGGTCGACGACATACATACATACAGATACATACATACATAGATACATACATACAAATATACATACATACATACATACATACATACATACATACATACATACATACATACATACATACACACACATACATGCATGCATGCATACATGCATGCATACATGCAAACAAACACACATACATACATACACTGTGAGGAAGAGGGATTATCTTGCAGTTGCCGTGAAAACCCACTGTTGCGAGTGAGTTGGTATGGTGGGTTTCCTGGGGGCGTTTTCAAGCCGTCTCCTCTGCTTGCTGAGCCGTCTTGGGGCCTTGTTGCGGCCGTCTTGGGCCTCTCCAGGCCGTCATGGGGGTCTCTTGGAGCTTCTTTGGAGCGGTCTGGGGGCCCGATTGGGTTGTCTTGGGGCCTTATTGGGCTGTGTGGAGTCCCTCGGGGAACCTTTTTGGGGCGCCTTGAGGCCCTCTTGGGCTGTTTTGGGAATATGTTGGGCCGTCTTGGGCGCCTCCTGGTAACCTCTTGGTCGCCTGTTGGGTATCTTGAGGTGATCTTGAGTTTTGTTGGGGCCGTCTTGGAGGCTCAACAAGGCTAGAAAGAGAATGCAAGAGAGAGAGGGGGGGGGAAGGATGGACAAGGAAGATGGGGAGGGGGTAAAGTGAAAGCAGTACGGTGGAGAATAGATACGAGGAGGAGGAGGAGGAGGAGGAGGAAAGAAAGCGGGAAATGAGGAGGAGGAGGACGACGACGACGACGACGATGAGGAGAACGAGGAGGACGGGGAGAGGGAGGAGGACCACGACGACGACGAGGGAGGATGTGGGAGGAGGGGATGCCCTCCCGCCAACCGTCTTAGTCGGGCGTGTCCCTCTACAGGAAGGAATAGTCGGGCGTGCCCCTCTACAGGAGGAAAGAACATAGTCTGGGGATGATCTTAGAAAAAATAATAGATCATTGTGGTGCATCTTTTGACTGTTTTTGTTTTTCATCCAAAATCCGCCTGTAGGGGGGGCATGCCCGACCTAGCAATAGTCCTCGCGCAGGCGTGGACCATCCGCAAGGGCTTCAAGGCGCCCCAGGCCGCGGGCTGCATCCACACCGACTTTGAGAAGAAGTTTATCATGGCGGAGGTGCAGGCTTTCTCGGACCTGAAGGAACCGCCGATCTTCCCTGAGATCCTGGCGTTGCAGTTTTTTTCACACTGAGCGTTCTCGCCCAATTTCGGGCCCCGGGGCCCTCACAGATCGATCCGGTTCGAAAAAATGACGCAGAAAGGTGAAGTCCTGGCGTGATGTTTCTCGATGGAGCAATTTTTTTCGCAACGTCGGATCTCAAGGTTCTGCTGCCACTCTTGGCTCTAGGAGGCCCGCACACCGCAGCGGCTCTGCGCCAGAGTGGGGGGCGAGTGGGCCACGGTCTGGGACGGAGCGGATCGCACGCACCTCGCCTGGATCATCCACGGTGGGCGCCCCGCCAACAGCGCAGTCGGCGACGACGCCCCAGCGGGAAACGACGGCCTCCTCCAGCTCGGCCTCCGGAGGCATCCGCGGGGGCCCCAGAGACCTCCGGGGGGCCTCCTGGGCCAGGGGTCAGCTTCGGGCCACGCAAGGAGGAAGAGGAGCAAGAAGGCGCTCCCTCCTGCACTCCCCTCCCCTCCCTCCCTCCCCCCTCACCCTCCCTCCCGGTGGTATTTCCTCCCTCCTCCACCTCCGCCTTCCTCTCCGCCTTCTCCTCCGCCTCCTCCTGCCCCAGTTTTCGACACGTGCTCCGCCCTGCAGGTTCTGGCCGACGCGATGCCTTTGCCATCGCTGTTGCTCAGGTTTCAGAGGCGGCCACCTGCCAGAGCCCTGCATGCTCCCGGAGGGCCTCCCTGCGCTGCTGGGCGCCTCCCTGGCTGGACCTGGCGCGTCGCGCAGGCGCTGGACCTGGCGAGGCAGCGCATTGTGCAGAGCCAGTTCGCGGCCTGCGTGTGGCTCGCGCTGTGCTCCACCTTCCTGATTGGGGTCGTCACGGGGTTCGCCTGCGCCCACTGCTGCCCTGTCTGCTCACTTCCGGCCTGGGAGGCGGGTCGCCGCGCAGTGGAGGGCCAGCGGGTCGTGGGAGATCCGCGTCCTCATCGCGCGGTGCGGCGCGGTCGAGGCGAAGGTCGAGGGCGACGCGAGCGCGACTCCAGCTCAGGAAGCAGCGGGTCTGATCTGGTACGCGCTGACGCCCGATTTGGGCATCTACCCGCACGTCCTCGCAGTCGACGAGGGGTTCCTGAAGCGTCTCGTGTGCTTCGACAACAGTGGCGCGGCGATCGCGGGATCGAACTCGGGGACGAAATGGCCTCGCAGGAGTGCGGCATACGGCGACGAGTGGGACGCCAGCCCTCTGGAAGTGATGGAGGCTCTGGAGTTCGTGCAGCCGCCGCCGCCCGCCGGCCTGTCGCCAGGGGCCCGCCTGACCGGGAAGCAGCCGTTCCCAAGAGCGGGCGGGGGTACGAGGTCGTCACCAGCTCCAGCGACTGACTACGACGCCGGCGCCAACGAGCTGCCCGGCGCCTCGCCTCTGGAGTGTTTCGGTCTCATCTCAATTGACGGGGCTGGTGATAGGCAAAGGCTGGCCAGTTTGAAGGTAGACTCGGTGAGGATGGGCGATTACGCATTCGCGAAACGGGGAGGCAGTCTCCTCGTTGCGGTGGCCGTGGATCCCGCTTCGCCTGGGGCCGATTTCGAGCTGGACGCGCGGCTTTTGCCTACGACCGTCAGCTCCCAAGGCATCCGGCACTTGTCGTTCAGCAAAGGCGTGAGCCTGCTCACCGAGAGCGCGTGGCCGGGCTGGCCGATCATGGGACCCCGCACGGTGAAGTGGTGCATCGAGTTTCTGGCGCAGCAAGATCAGCATCCGAGAGCTCGCCACACCAAGTGGTTCCACGAGGCGAACCTGGAGCCCTGGGACGAGGGCGTGCAGGACCACGACTTGGCCATGCGTATGTTCGAGATGGCGATCGTGTTCGACCAAGCGAACATCGCCGAGCACGCCGCCTACGAACTGCTGGCCGGAAGGGCCCAGATGGCTGAGTGGCGCCCTCATGACAGAGTCCTCGGCCGGTCGAAGGGTGAGCTTTTCGATGATAAATTCCTCTACATGGGCACCGGCGAGAGCCGAGGGCTGCTGATGGCATCTCCCGAGTTGCCAGAGCAGATCAATAGCGAACTTCATCGTGAGGCGTCCATTGTCAAAGAGAAAAGGAAGGTTCGGGAGGAGAGAGCGCTCGTTCGTGGAGGAGGCAGCGCGGGAGGCGGCGGAGGCTGTGGATGAGCCTCCAGCAAAGCAGACCTTCAAGAAGGTGCAGCAGCAGGCGGCGGAGCTGGAGCGGCTGCAGGCTGGCTGCAAGGCGGACGGTTGCAAGGGCGGCCAGAGTTCTGGTCCTGGCGGGGCCGGCGGGGCGGAGTGACCTACGAGATGCCCGTGCCGCGGGAGCTGTTCCCAGTGGACGGCGGCCGCGGCCCCTCGGCGGCCCCTGGCGGAGTTGCCTCGCTAGCTTGTCGCTCGGCCCGCTCGCGGTGCCGTCGGCGACGCTTCATCGACAATGGGTTGCACGAGGCTTGTGGGGGGGCTCAATGTTTTGGCAGGCGTTCCAGCGGCGAAGACCAGGACGGGCGCCTCGACGGCTCAGGCAGAGGGCCCCAGTCACGCGCGACAAATCATCAGCAGCGTGGGTCTCCCCCATGCAGCGCCGCGGAAGGAGCTTTGCGGTGCCGCGCCCGGCTATGACATGGAGCCGGCGCATCGCGCTGCGCATCAACGAGACCGAGTTTCTCGATCGCCCCCGGGCACGCGGTGCAAGCCTGCGAGCATGCTGAAGGGTGTGACGTGCTTGATCAGTGGGTACGATTGCAGCAGCGCGCCCTGCGTCAGAACCCCGCCGACGTTGAAGACATTAGGCCCTACAGCGACCAGAGCCTCGTCAGGGGCCGCAAGGGCTACGCCATGTTCATCGCAGACCTCTCGAGGCGAGACCTTGTCTTTCTTGGCAAGAGGCGGCTTCATACTGTTGGGGTCTCCCTCGTGCTGACGTTTGACAAAGTGCGGCTCGGGATGATACAGGACAGTCGAATGGTGGATTCAAGATTCGCGGATCCTGCTTACACCCAGCTGGCCACTGCTTCGGCGTGGAGTTCCACATAGGTCCGCTCAGACGCCGAGATCAAGTCGGCGCAGGCCGACGTGGACAACACTGTCTACCGCGTCGAGTTGGCGCCGGGCATAGGCGAGCATTTCGCCTTGCCGGCGGTGAGCAGGGACTGCTTGGTCGCGGCTCAGGACTGCCCCGAATTGCCCGATGGGGCCATGATCTCACCGCTCTTGAACGTTTTGCCTATTGGGCGGTCCTGGTCGCATCACTTCTGCCAACGGTTACTTGAACAATGCGCGCTGGGTGCTGGGCACCCGGTGACATCGCTCACTCGCGACCGCCACGCGGCTCGGGACCTTGAAAAAGTCCCCCTTGGCATCGGGGCCCACGTGGACAACGTCGCGGCGGTCAGTCAGGATTTTTCCTTTGCCGCCACTGCTTGTGAACAGATTGTTGGCAAGATGGAGAGCGCGGGTCTCGCCTGCAGGGGCGCGACGCCGCCCATGGATAACCGAGCGTTCACCAGTATGATTTCAGACGAGAGTACTGCTATGACAGCTCCGTGTATATGGAAGACCAGACTGGCGCCGCTCCGGGTTGCTGACAGAGTTGGTCTACTGGCGACGAGCTCGCGCGGCTCATCGGCAATTTCACCCGGCGCGCCCTTCTGCGCCGCTGCCTGCCGAGCACGTTGTTCCACGTTTACACTTCTGCGAGTAAGGCGGGCAGCTCGGAGCGCAGGCTCTGGGGCGAGGTGGAGACGGAGCCCAGGCAAGCGGCGGCCCTGGCGCCCGTCGCGCTCGCGGACTGCAGGCGCCTCGACGACGCGACCGCGCTGGCCGCGGACGCCTCGGGCGCTGGCCACTTCGACTGCGGCGGCCTCGGCGTCGCCGAGCTCGAGCGCGACCCGACGGTTGTCCAGCTCGCCATGGCGCAGAGCTAGCTGTGGCGATACGGCGTGGGCACCACCGTTGCCGCCCGCGCTGCCGCGCTGGGTTTGGCGGCCCCAGGTCTGCCACGCTGCGCGCCCCAGCTCGAGGCGGCGCCGAGCGAGCCACTGGAGGCGCTGGCGGAGCAGGCAGCTCAGGAGCGGCCGACGCAGGCGGGCGCCAGCCCCCCCGCGGGGGGCCAGCCTGCCGACGCGCTGCACCAGCGACGCGGCACCGCCGACTTCCTTGCGGCGCCCGAGGAGCTGGTCGGCGACAAGCGCGGCTGGAGGGTGCTGTTCTGCGCGCGGCTCTGGCGGCCCGAGGACATCGTGACTCTAGAGGCGCGCGCAGCTCTCATGGGCGCCAGGCACCGCCTGCGAGCTGTCGGGCGCGATCATAGGCGCCACCTCGTGCTGATCGATAACCTCGGCCTCGTACTTGCCATGGAAGAAGGACCATCAGCGTTAGCCAGCGTCAATCGTCAGCTTCGTCACCTCGCGGCCCTATCGACCTTCTCAGGGTGCATCTTCATCGGGCGCTGGACCCCATCAGAGTGGCAGCCAGGGGGCGCGCCGTCGCGAGTAGCTTTGGCTCAAGTGGCAGACCCTCGAGCAGATCCACGGCACGCGCACTATTCTGAGACCCAGAGTCGATGGCAAGCCGCTGAGGCCATGCGGGCCCAAGTTGACGAGGTCTTGCTCAGGGGGCGGGTCAACAGCGCCGCCGCGGGCCTCAGCGGGCTCGGCGACTTTCTCGCCGACGACCCCCGCCCCGGAGGTGCGGCCTACGTCGTGCATTGGGAGCTTCGCTGCATCGGTGGCACGCCAGAGTCGACGACGGCCCGAAGTTCGAGTGACTGTACATACCTCTTCATCTTCGTCGAGCAGCAGCTGCAGGTCCATCGACGCTGGGCATGACAGCGGCGGCGAAGCTCGCTGCCCGGCCGGCTCACCGGCAACGGACCCACGGATTCAAGACCCAGCCGGTGAAGCAGCCGGGGACGACTGTCCTACAGTTCGAGAAGGTGGACCACCACGCCAGGCGGAACTTCCAGCGCGAGTGGGGCGAGTTCCGCCAGTGGCGCCAGTGAACCCTCGGACCGTAG